AGGCCTCCCATGTGGCCTCAGCCCACCAAGGCTGTGGCAGTGTCCAGTGTGTGCTCTCCTGACTGAGCAAGAATAGTATTTTTTCCTTTTTATTTATTGGGTCATTGGAAAAGTCAGGAGACTTATTGCATAGAAAAATGCATCCTGACTTTTTCCAATGACCACATATTTAATTTTTGCTAGAGAGCACATGTACTCTCCAGCGAGAGAGGGAGAAGAGAAAACATCCTCCATGGGGAACAGTCACACAGTTACCCTCTCCTCCATCTCTCCCTCCTTTCAGGATTTTGGGAATGCACACACATGTACTCTGCAAGTTTTTCAAGCCATTGAGTCCAGGCATCTAACTACGCAACATAAGTTGAATTTTATGCAAGAAAGGACTGCCTGCTCTTTGCAGAGCTAATTTTTTCCCCCAGCATTTATTGATCGATTGATTGATTTTTTGGAGAGTTTTTTTTGTTTGTTTTTTGTTTTGTTTTGTTTTTTTTGTTATAGGGCGCATGTGCTCGTCAGAAAGACAGAGAGAGACAGAGAGACAGAAAGCGAGAAATCATCCCCCCAGGGGGGATTGCACACACACACCACAATCTTTTCTCCTTTCTCCTCTAGGGATCTTGGGCACGCGCACACACATGCCTGGCGTGAGTTTAAGCCACTGGGTCTGGGACATGAACCACAGTCAACTATATGGAAGTCCAGCAACATAGTCATTACGCCATCTGTTGGTCCCAATAATTCTTACATTATTGGGCTATGGACCTCTTTAATGTCTGGAAAAGTTCATAAATGGATCTCTTCTAAGAATAATGTGGGTTTTTTCTGGTGGGTGTTAGGGGAGTTGTTTTGTTTGTTTTTGTGGTGTGTGTGTGTAGTGTAGACAGGATTGCACTCTGTTGCAGTCCTCCTGCTTCAGCCTCCAAAGCAGCGGGTACTACAGGCATGTGCCACTTTCCCTGGCTTTAGTGTGGGTTGAGAATTGAACATAGGCCTCCCATGTGGCCTCAGCCCACCAAGGCTGTGGCAGTGTCCAGTGTGTGCTCTCCTGACTGAGCAAGAATAGTATTTTTTCCTTTTTATTTATTGGGTCATTGGAAAAGTCAGGAGACTTATTGCATAGAAAAATGCATCCTGACTTTTTCCAATGACCACATATTTAATTTTTGCTAGAGAGCACATGTACTCTCCAGCGAGAGAGGGAGAAGAGAAAACATCCTCCATGGGGAACAGTCACACAGTTACCCTCTCCTCCATCTCTCCCTCCTTTCAGGATTTTGGGAATGCACACACATGTACTCTGCAAGTTTTTCAAGCCATTGAGTCCAGGAATCTAACTACATGGTCAGCCAAATGGGATCCCACTCCTTGACTACTCGGCCATGGAGCCAGCCCAAGAATAACGTGTGTGTGTGTGTGTGTGTGTATTGAATACAAATTCATTTTTTAATGAACAAAAATTAACAAATTCTTTAAAAAAACAACTTGGTTTCTAGACACAGATGCTTACTTAACTCCTCTCTTTGTCTACTTTCTTTTTTTTTTTTTGGAGAGATTTTCACTGTAGGGCGCGTGCGCTCACCAGACAGACAGAGAGAGACATAGAGACAGAAAGCGAGAAATCACCCCCCAGGGGGGATGGTCACGCCGCAATCCCTTCTCCTCCATTCTCCTTCCGGGATCTTGGGCACGCACGCACACACGCCCGGCGTGAGTTTTAAGCCACCGGGTCCGGGACGTGAACCGCGGTCGACTACGTGGGAGTCCAGCGACATAGCCACTACGCTAACTGCTGGTTCCCTCTTTGCCTACTTTCTTAAAGTCCTTATTCAGGGACAGATTAAATCTCTGAAGTGTTTACACCCAGTACTTGCATTTGTAAAATACAGAAAAGTTTCCAAGATCTGGTTGTAGATAGCATTTATTGCCAGGCACTTGGTTGGAAAATCCTCAGTGGCCATAAATATGAGGCAGCTAAAGGTTGGGGGATTTGAAATTGGGGTTCTATCTAGCATCATAGGGCATGTACGATTAAGCAGAGGAGAAATGGATGGTGTCATTGTTCAGGTCCCAGATAGGGCTGACACTCCTGAGCATTGCCTTCCAGAAGCTCTCTCAGCAAGTTTTTGCTCTTGTTCGGCCAATTCAGATTGGTCAGCTCTTTATCTTCCTGGCCTTCTTTTAATTTGATGTCAGGCAGAGGAAAGTTGAGGTCATCCTTTTCCTGCAGGGCCTTAGAGAAACTCCTGCCCCAGTAATACTGCCTCAGTCTACTGGAGACACTGATTCTGAGCTTTCTGGCCTTGTACTGGGAAGCATGGAGGGCCAGCTTATGTGAAGACTCCTGGCCAGAGCAGAGTGCTCGGGAGAGCTGCAAATGCAGGTGGCAGGAGCACCAGATCTCAACTTAGTTAGATGTCATCTCCTCAAGGAAGCCTCTCCTAATCCCCTAGATTTGAGTTAGTTTATTTCTGCCATATCAACCTGTTAGAATTGTCTACATGGCTTGTAATTTTTCAAAGTTTATTACTACCTGATGATGAGCTTGTTTATTTTCTGTTAAGGCTCATGAGAGTACAATCTTCATCTTACCTTGTTCACCACCTTCTAAAAAGTCACTTGAAAGACTAGATTCTTGTGGATGGAAAAGATAGTACTAGTATATACATTTAACGGTAGGCTGCAAAAGCCTTCAAAAAGTGGCTCTAGGGGTCCAGTGGTTGGAGTAATGGCTATGTTGCTGGACTCCCATGTAGTTGGCCACAGTTTGAGTCACGGACCTGGTGGCTTGAACTCACACCAGGCACGTGTGCATGTGTTCAAGTTTGCCACAAATCCCTGGAGGAGAAGGGATTGTGGCATGGCCATTCCCCCAGGGGGTGATTTTTCATTTTCTGTCTCTCTATTTCTCTCTCTCTGGTGAGCACACACGCTCTTTAGTAAAAACCTCTCAAAAAAAAAAAAATGTGGATCTAGGGGCCAGCAGGTGGCATAGTAGTTATGGTGCTGGACTCCCACATAGTCAGCCACAGTGTCCTGGACCTGGTGGCTTGAAATTCATGCCAGTGCATGTGTGTGTGTGCCCAGAATCCCAAGAGGAGAGTGGAAGAGAAGAGGTTGTGGTGTGGCCATCCCACTGGGGGGTGATTAATCACTTTCTCTCTCTCTCTAATAAACACACATACCCTATAGCAAAAAACTAAAAAAAAAAATAAGTGAATCTAATGAAAGATTTCTTGGAAGAATTGAGTGCGCCTTTTGGAGGAGGAGGAATAGGGTGGTTCATAAGAGTTTGAAAAAGGGCCTACCTGAGAGTTACATTTGAGACAAGTCAGATAAGATGCTGCTGAGAAGTATTCAAAATACAAGTAATGGATGAAAATAGAAATTTCCTTTTTTTTTTTTTTTTCTTTGCAGAGATTTTCACTGTAGGGTGCGTGCGCTCACCAGACAGACAGAGACATAGAGACAGAAAGCGAGAAATCACCCCCCAGGGGGGATGGTCACGCCGCAATCCCTTCTCCTCCATTCTCCTTCCGGGATCTTGGGCACGCACGCACACGCGCCCAGCCTGAGTTTTAAGCCACCGGGTCCGGGACACGAACCGTGGTCGACTATGTTGGAGTCCAGCGACATAGCCATTACGCTAACTGCTGGTTCCCAGAAATTTGCTTTTTTGAGACACCATTCTAGCCACAAAATGATAGGAAATTGGATATAGACAGTGACAGTGTGATCAAGTTGTTTTTGTTTTTTTAAGAGAGAGGTTTTTGATATAGGGTGTATGCAGTTGGCTGGAGAGAAAGAGAGAACAAGCAGTCACTCCCTGGGGAGATGGCATGGTAGTTAAGGCCAAACAACAGTTTGAGCCCTGAACCTGGCAGCTTGGAAATCATGCTGTGTGTATACCCAAAATTCAGAGAGGCGAATGGAGAAGGGACTGCAGTATGACCTTCCCTCCCTTGGTGGTGGTGGTGGTGGTGGTGGTGGTGGTGGCGGCGGCGATAATTTCTCACTTTCCCCACTCTCTCTTCTAGCAAGCACACATGCCCTGTGGCCAAAAAAAAAAAAGAAAAGAAAAAGGCATACCAGTAGTTGGAGTCACTAAGACTGTTGCCTGGACCTTTGCTGACCATGCTGGCCCAGGGGTACTTTCTGCCACCGCCACAGCAACCCCATCTCTAAATACCAGTGTCCTCTTAGGTCTGAGGGTATGGCAGGCAGTGAAGGTCTTCCACACTGGGGGCCACATCTTACCCCTCTACAAACTCTTCCTGAACACGGAGGAAAAGTTTGTCTTGGGCTAATTCCTGGGAAGTTCTTCTAATTCCTTTTTTTTTTTTTTTTTTTTTTTTTTTAGATTTTTTCTACAAGATATGTGCTCACCAGAGACAGAGAGATTGAAAGTGAGAAATCATCCCCCAGGAGAGATGGCCATGCCACGATCCCTTTTCCATTTTATTGGATCAGATGGTGTAATGGTTACATCACTGGACTACCACAGAGTGGACTACAGTTTTTTGTGGTTTTTTTGTTTTTGTTTTTGTTTTTTTTTTGGAGAGGTTTTTGCTATAGGGCTCCTGCGCTCACCAGACTCAGACAGACAGACAGAAAGCGAGAAATCACCTTCCAGGGGGGATGGCCACGCCACAATCCTGTCTCCTCCATTCTCCTCTTGGGATCTTGGGCACTCACGTACACGCGCCCGGCGTGAGTTTAAGCCACCGAGTCTGGGACTCGAACCACAGCTGACTACGTGGGAGTCCAGCAACATAGCCATTACGCTAACTGCTGGTCTCTGGACTGCAGTTTTGAGTACTGGTCCTGGTGGCTTAAAAATCACACCAGGCATGTGTGCGTGCATGCCCAAAATCCTGAGACAAGAATGGAGGAGAAGGGACTGTGGTATGGCCATGCCCCTCGGGGAGTGATTGCTCGCTTTCTCTCTGTCTCTCTGGCAAGTACACACTCTTGGCCTAATAGATTTCTCTGTTGCTTTATAGGTGGATTTCTCAGGTTATGATCTGGAACAGTTACATGCCAAAGTGACTTCACTGTGTCACCGGATAGAACAGATACAGTGTTACAATGCCAAGGATCGCCTGGCTCAGTCAGGTGAGCATCTTCCCTGCTTCCTCCTACCCACTTGTTTTCTATTTTTATGATATTACAGTCTGTCCACCCACCTTTCCCTTCTTCCCCATTCTCAGTACTCACTCCAGTTTTTCTCTCTAGACATGGCAAAGCGTGTAGCCAACCTGCTACGGGTGGTACTGAGCCTCCAACACACCCCTGATGCAACCTCTGACTCAGCACCGGACCCTCATCGAGTCCCTTTGCGCCTGTTGGCTCCCCATATTGGCCGGCTCCCCATGCCTGAGGACTATGCCTTGGAAGAACTGCGGAGCCTTACACAGTCTTATCTTCAAGAACTAATTGTTGGGAGCCAGTGAGCCCCAGGCCTTTTCTACCACACTCACATGCTCATTCACACCCACCACACAAAGCTCCCCTGCATTGTTCTGATAGGCACTGTGCCATTCTCTGGGTTGGCTGTGGAATCCACCCTGCCTTCCTGCTGCCCCAGGCAGTATCCTCCAGTTCAGGATTTTCTTAATACTCAACATAGCAAAAGGGCTTCTGAAACCCAGAAAAAGCAAAGTCTCTTTTCACCACCTTCAAGAGCATTTCTGTTTTTGTTTTTTGTTTTGTTTTGTTTTGTTTTTCTTTTTAAAAGTGGTCAATAAAACTCCTTTGGCAGAATCCCCTTAAGAATCAGGGAATCCTTTTCTACCCCCAGCCATTCTGGATCTTGTGACCCTCCATGCCAACTTCCTACCCCAGCCCTTTTATACTAGGACTCTTTAGGATGAGACAGGTGATGGGACAAAAATGTGTTGATCTAGGACCATCCTTAACAGAAGAACTGTCCACAGAAAAAAGGGATAATCTGTCTTTTCAACAGACTGATAAGTTGACACTGAGTTTTCAAATTGAAAGGGTTGGACTGAGTTAGGAAATAGAACAGGGTCTTTCTAACACATTTAGGGTAGAAGTGAGTACCTGCCATGTAGGGATCAATCTTCAAGGCTTGTTTTGTTACTGCCACAAATGTTCTGTGAACACCATACCTTTCCTACTACCCTGTGCAGCAGCTCTTGGTTATATACTGTGTGACTCTAGGAAGCTCCAGAACTTGGTTTGGTCCCTGTTTTCATCTTGCTGGGAATCCTAACTGGATTTGCCTCAAGAGTTTGCATAAAACAAACAAACAAACAGCAGATTGGGAAGCCTTCCCTGCCCCTCTCATTCTAGCACCAAAGAATTTCCCACCTTCTACTATCCTTCTAGAAGGTAAAACCATCAGAGGTGGCTAGGAACTGGCCTATAGGGACAGGGAGGACAGGCAAAAGTCCTTTGCCATACTACTGCCTGCTATGGGGAGCCCCAGGTAATAGCCTGAGAAAGCTGGTGTTAGGGCCATCACAGACAGCATGGCCATTCCTGGGTCTTTATGCATGAAGATTATGTAAAGGTTTTTATTAAAATATATATATATATAAATAAATGATCTAGATTATTTTCCTCTTTTTTCTGAATCTACTTTCTTAAAAAAATAAATAAAATGAAATGTTTATAGCATTCCTGGTACTGGCTTTCCCTTTGTGTTTTGAGCCTCCTTATCCTGCAGATCTTTCAGGTAGTCTTGTTTGCTTTATCCTTCTTAAAATTTAAAGTCTAAGCAGGGATAGGCCATGGGTTAAAGAGAAAACAACTTGGTACTAAACTGAGATACAGACTAGGCCAAAGGCGAGATTTGTTAGGGCATATTTAGAGATGAGGGAATTGATTATTGATTAATCTGACTGCTATACATATTTAGGCACAGAGATTCGCACTTGTGTGAAATTGTCTAGTAAACTATATGTACCAATCAAAGCTTCCTTGCAGTTCCACTCTGATGGGTTTTATTTCTTTTTAAACCTTGGGTTGCATCTTACCTTTCTAATCCAGATTCTACATTTCTTGGTATAAAGGGGATAACGATCCTGATGTTACTGCTTAACTTCTCCCAGGACTGTTTTTGAGAGGGATCAAGTGAGCGATGTGTGTACTATTCATTTATTTTGATTTATCACACTGAAGATGTGAGCAGATTCCAAGTAAGATTAAGCCAAAGACTTCTGAGATACCTGGAATTGAGAGATGAGAAAATAGAGTGGGTCTGCCCTGTGGCTAGAAATTCCATTTCACTTGGGCTCCTGAGGACAAGGGTTACCCAGCCTGGGAGTCTCCCCTCCATTACTGACTCAACTCTGAACCTGAGTCGTAGAGCATTACTGACCTTTCAGCAAAGAACCCCTGACAGGCTTTCCTTTCCAGAGGTATTTTTTGGAAAGTGAGTGTGCTGTAGAAATGGTTAGCCTTGGAGGGACCAGCAGTTAGCGTAATAGCTATGTTGCTGAACTCTCATGTAGTCAACCGCCATTCGAATCCTGTACCCAGTGGCTTAAACTGGTCACGTGTGTGCGTGCCCGAGATCCCAAGAGGAGAATGGAGAAGGGATTGCGGCATGGCCATCCCCCCTGGGGGGCGATTTTTTGTTTTCTGTCTCTCTGTGTCTTTCTGGCGAGCGCACGTGCCCTATAGCAAAAACCTCTCCAAAAAAAAAAAAGAAAAAAAGAAATGGTTAGCCTTGGGACCAGCAGTTGTCATAATGGTTACATCACTGGACTCCCACATAGTCGACTGTGGTTTGAGTGCCAGACCCAGTGGCTTGAATCTCATGCCCAGTGTGTGTGCAAGCATCCCAAAAGTCCCAAGAGGAGAATGAAGGAGAAGGAATTTCAATGTGACCATTCCCCCACAGAAGTGACTTCTCACTTCCTATCTCTCTCTGTGTCTCTGATGAGCACACATGCTCTATAACGAAGATAACTCTCAAAAGAAAAAAAAAATGGTTAGCTTTTAGTGGCAGTAAGAATTGTAAATATGGGCAGTATTTCTTCATAGGGGAAGTTTTGTTTCCTTTATGTTAAACAGTGGCTCTATGGGGCCAGCAGGTGGTGTGGTAGTTAAGGTACTAAACTCCTACATGATCAACCATGGTTCAAGTTTCAGACTCAGTGGCACAAAAATTACACCGGGTGCCTGTACATGTGTGCCCATAATCCCAGAAGAATGGGGGAAAATAGATTATGGCATGGCCATCCCCTCTAGGGGAGGTGATTTCTCACTTTCCCTCTCATGTCTCTGGCAACTGCATGTGCCCTTGGCAAAAAGCAAAATGAAAATCTGCTCTAAATCAAATTCTTATAGATGCTATGTTGCATCACAGAGAATAGACTCCTATTTCAAGGTGAGGATGATGAACAATCTACTTCTCCAAAACTCATGGATACAAAGTTTTAATTTCTCAAAAAATAGGAACCATTTTCTCAAGACTCAAGGGAGCTGTGGAACCCACAGCCTCATTACAGCTTCAAAAACAACTTATTGGGACCAGCAAATGGTGTAATGGTAATGTCACTGGACACGTCAACCATGGATCAAGTCCCAGACCTGGCGGCTTGAAACACACCGGGTGCATGTACATGCATTCCCAAAATCCCAAGAATAGAGAAGGAATTGTGTCATGGCCATCCCCCTGGGGTGACTTCTCGCTTGCGAGCACACGCACCCTATAGCAAAAGCCTCTCAAAAACTAAAAATAAAAAACATTTCATCCTGGAATAGTGCTAAGATCAAAGTTAGCAGAGGCTTGGAGAACTGAATGTTGCAATAGGTGAGCCAAGGCCTACAGAGTAGCTGCTCTTTTGGGGTATTTTAAACTCCATTCTGTTCATTTGTATTTCTAGAAAATTGTTGCTTTTTTTTTTTCTTCGTTATTCAAAGAACCAGCTCTTAGATGTAATGGTAAATTTTATTGGAGTTCTGTATTATATTAATTTCTACTTAAACACTTCATTTTTCTTTTTCTTGGGAGAGATTTTCGCTATAGGACATGTGCACTCACCAGAAAGACAGAGACAGCGAGAAATCACCCTCCAGGGGGGATGGCCACACTGCAATCCCTTCTCCATTTTCCTCTCGGGATCTTGGGCACGTACGCACACGCGCCCAGCGTGAGTTTAAGCCACTGGGTCTGGGATGCGAACCGCGGTTGGCTACATGGGAGTCCAGCCACATAGCCATTACACTAACTGCTGGTCCCAAACTAATCATAATTTTTAAAGTGTTAAATCACACCCTTTCCTTGTTCTAACCCCTGACAACCTATCCTCCATCACTGTATTTTTGTTTTAACAGAATGTAATATAAATGGAATAATTTAATATGTGGTCTTTGATGACTGTCTTCTTTCACTTATCATAGTATTTCAAGATTCATCCACATTATAGCCATCAGCATTTCATTTTTTTTAATGGCCAAATTATCCTATTTTATGGATATGTCAAGTTTTAAAATATATTCAGCAGTCGAATGACATTTGTATTGTTTCTGCTTTGTGGCTATTATGAAGAATGCTAACATTTTTGTACAAGTTTTTGTGTGGACATAAACATTGTCATTTCTCTTGGGTATATACCTAGGAGTAGAATTGCTGAAACTTACGGTAACCCTATGCAAAACTTTTTCGAAGTGACTGCAACGTTGTATATTCTCACTGGCAATGTGATGAGCGGTTCTCATTTCTCCGTGTTTGTAACCAACACTTACTATTGTTCATCATTTGAAAAACAGCCATGCCAGTTGATGTGAAGTGGTATCTAATTGTGTTTTGTTTTTAAGTTTATTTCTTCTATGTGTGTGTGAGAGCAAGATGGCACCCCCCAGAGGGTCTTGATGTCCGTGGTCCAGCCCACTCCTCTGCCAGCCCCAGTAGAGGCTTGCCCACAGGTAAGCAGTCTGTGCCTGACATACTCGGGGAGTTCTCTGAACTTGAATCAGAAACCTTTCCATGTGAGACTCCCTTGCGGCATGTCATTGCACCACTGTTTGGCTCCTCTAATTGTTTTTCATTTTTTGTTATTCTAATGCTAGAGGGCACATTCAAGAGAACAAGAGAGAAAGTGCCCTCCAAGGGCCTGGTCATGCCACAGTCTCTTTCTGCATTTCTCCGTTCTGTCAGGATGGGCACACACACATGTGCCCACTGTGTTTTTCAAGTCACCAGATCCAGGATTTGAACTATAATTGGCTAGGTAAGATTCAACTCCCTCTACACAGCACTTAACCACTGCACTGTGGGGCCTGCCCTCATTATGGTTTTAATTTGTATTTCCTTGATTCTGTGGTCTGAATGTGTCCCTCCACCACCCACCCAAATTCCTATGTTGTAACAATCACTAATGTGGCAGTGATAGGAAGTGGAACCTTTGGGAGGCAGTTAGGTCATGAGGGTGGAGCCCTCATGAATGGCATTATTTCCCTTATGAAAGAGGTCCTAGAGGACCTACTTTCTGGCTCTGTAGATTTGCCTGTTCTGCACATTTCATATAAATGAAATAAGGTGGACTTTTCTGTCTGGTTTAATATTTTCAAGGTTCATCCATATTAGAGCATGTGAAAGTACTTCATTACTTTCTATGACAGAATAATATTCCATGATATTGAATAGTCAACATTTTGTTTATCCATTAATCACTTGATGCCTTCTATATATTTTCTTCAGTTTGTATTTTTTGTTCTTTTTTTTAAAGAATTATTTTATTTATTATTATTATCATTATTATTTTTCAGTTTGATCAGAAAGAGACAGAGAGAGAGAAAGAGGAAGCAAGAAAGCAAGCCACCAGGTCTGAGACTTGAACCGTGGTAGGCCATGTGGGAGTCCAGCGCCTTTAACCACCATGCCACTTGCTGGCAGTAGAATTGCTGAAACTTACGGTAACCCTATGCAAAACTTTTTCGAAGTGACTGCAACGTTGTATATTCTCACTGGCAATGTGATGAGCGGTTCTCATTTCTCCGTGTTTGTAACCAACACTTACTATTGTTCATCATTTGAAAAACAGCCATGCCAGTTGATGTGAAGTGGTATCTAATTGTGTTTTGTTTTTAAGTTTATTTCTTCTATGTGTGTGTGAGAGCAAGATGGCACCCCCCAGAGGGTCTTGATGTCCGTGGTCCAGCCCACTCCTCTGCCAGCCCCAGTAGAGGCTTGCCCACAGGTAAGCAGTCTGTGCCTGACATACTCGGGGAGTTCTCTGAACTTGAATCAGAAACCTTTCCATGTGAGACTCCCTTGCGGCATGTCATTGCACCACTGTTTGGCTCCTCTAATTGTTTTTCATTTTTTGTTATTCTAATGCTAGAGGGCACATTCAAGAGAACAAGAGAGAAAGTGCCCTCCAAGGGCCTGGTCATGCCACAGTCTCTTTCTGCATTTCTCCGTTCTGTCAGGATGGGCACACACACATGTGCCCACTGTGTTTTTCAAGTCACCAGATCCAGGATTTGAACTATAATTGGCTAGGTAAGATTCAACTCCCTCTACACAGCACTTAACCACTGCACTGTGGGGCCTGCCCTCATTATGGTTTTAATTTGTATTTCCTTGATTCTGTGGTCTGAATGTGTCCCTCCACCACCCACCCAAATTCCTATGTTGTAACAATCACTAATGTGGCAGTGATAGGAAGTGGAACCTTTGGGAGGCAGTTAGGTCATGAGGGTGGAGCCCTCATGAATGGCATTATTTCCCTTATGAAAGAGGTCCTAGAGGACCTACTTTCTGGCTCTGTAGATTTGCCTGTTCTGCACATTTCATATAAATGAAATAAGGTGGACTTTTCTGTCTGGTTTAATATTTTCAAGGTTCATCCATATTAGAGCATGTGAAAGTACTTCATTACTTTCTATGACAGAATAATATTCCATGATATTGAATAGTCAACATTTTGTTTATCCATTAATCACTTGATGCCTTCTATATATTTTCTTCAGTTTGTATTTTTTGTTCTTTTTTTTAAAGAATTATTTTATTTATTATTATTATCATTATTATTTTTCAGTTTGATCAGAAAGAGACAGAGAGAGAGAAAGAGGAAGCAAGAAAGCAAGCCACCAGGTCTGAGACTTGAACCGTGGTAGGCCATGTGGGAGTCCAGCGCCTTTAACCACCATGCCACCTGCCGGCCCCTGTTCTTTTTTTTTTTTAACTTGCCGTAGAGTATGTGCAGTCAGGGAGAAATCCCCCAGGGAGGATGGCCACGCCGCTATCCCTTCTCCATTCTGGGATTTGGGGCATGCATGCATATGTGCCCAGTGTGATTTTCAAGCCTCCAGATCTGATACTCAAACCATGATCAGCCATGTGGGCGTCCAGCACCTTAACCAACATTCCACCTGCTGGCCCTTTTTGTCTGATTTTTAAATTAGATTTTCTAAGTGTTGACTTTTAAGAGTTCTTTAATATTTTTATACAAGTTCTTTACCATGAATGTGTCATGCAAATATTTTATTCCAGTCTGTGCCTTGTTTTTTCATTCTCTTGGCAATGTCTTTTGCGTGAGAGAGACCAAGATTTAGCAGCCTTAACAGTCTTAATGCCACAATCACCTTCAGCTTCTGCTAGCCAGATCTTGGGCACATGGGATCCTGGCATATGCAGAGATGTCTCTGGATGCTAACCAGTAGCACTCCTATGTGGGGCTACCTCACAAAGTGTCACATTGTACCACTGCACCATCATGTGTCTCCAGCTTTTTTTTTTTTTTTTTTTCTTTTAGAGAGATTTTTTTCTGCAGGGCGTGTGCGTTCATCGGCAAGACAAACAGAAAGCGCGAAATCACTCCCCCCCCTCCCAGGGAGATGGCCATGCTGCCATCTCTTCTCCTCCGTTCTCCTCTTGGGATTTTGGGCACGGATGCACACGTGTCCAGTGTGAGTTTCAAGTTGCTGGGTACAGGACTTGAACCATGGTTGGCCATGTGGGAGTTCAGTGACTTAACTATTACCCCATCTGCTGGTCCCATGGCTTCGGTTTTTAATTTTAATGAAGTCTAACTTAACTAATATTTTTCTTTCATGGTTGTGCTTTTGGTGTATAAAAAGTCAGCATGGAGCCCAAGGGCAAGTACGTAGGAGTTCTCCTGTTATCTTCTTGAAGTCTTTAGTTTTGCATTTTCCATTTATGTCTATGATTATTCATTTTGAGTTAATTTTTGTGACAAATGTAAGATCTAAGTCTAGATTTTCTATTTTTTTTTTAGTCAAAGATTATTTGACTATATTTGTGTTAATCTATTCTATAGGTCTTGTACATATTTTGTTAGATTTATTCTTCAGTATTTTTTAGTGCTAATTTAAATGGCAAGTGTTTTTAATTTTTTTCAACACTTCCAGAGTCTTTTATTATCCATTTATAGATAAATTAGCTGTTTCCACCAGAAATTCTACTTTTTCTTCTGCTGCCCCTTCCCATGTGTCTCCTGAAACGAAATGAGAGCCACCCCTTCCCCGTGTCTCCCAGCTCTGCAGATCGGGCTCACAAACAATAAGAGGGGCCTTGGTCTCCATCGCTCTTGGAGCAAACTGGTCCCTGATGACTCTGCACCAGACCTGCTGGGAGCCAGGCCGCCAGGTCCCGGCTGCTGCTGTCCATCACTGGAGTGCCAGGGTCCCCCTGGAAACGTGGGCTGCCATCATCCTGGCTAGACAGCCTGCACGGCTGAAACAGCAGGGTTGTCCTGAATGACCTTCTTGCTACCCTCAGTGGGTCTGAGTCCCAAAGCCACCCATGGCCACCCACTATGGGCTGGGGGCCAGGCCATGTGCAGCTGGATCCAGCACAGTGGATTCACCTGCCCAATAGCCTCCGTGCTGTCCTGCAAGCTGCTTCCCACACCCTCCCTTGCCGCACGGGATCTCAAGAACCCTGGCTAGCCCTGGGAGCTGTGTCCAAGGCTGTCTTTTCCCCACAAGGTTGCAGATCAATTATGGCAAACCTAACGGGGATGGTGGGAAAAAATGTCACTTCAGGCTCCACTTTGACCACAATGGCTATGGTGAAGCAGCTGCAGCTTCGATAAGGACCGGGAGATTTTTTTAGAGAAGTTTTTACTGTAGGACACATGCACTAGCCAAAGAGACAGAAAGTGAGAAATCACCCCTCAAGGGAGATGCCCACATTACAATCCATTCTCCATTCTATCTGGATCTTGGGCACGCATACACATGTGCCTGGCATGAGTTGTTTTAAGCCACCAGGTCCAGAACTCAAACCACAGGTGACTGTGGGAGTCCAGTGACCTAACCATTATACCATCTGCTGGTCCCAAGAGTTTTAAGCTTTATATTCCAATTGTTTATAGTTGACGTATAAGAAAACAATCTTTTTTTCTTTTTTTAAAAGAGTTTTGATATAGGACTGTGTGTGCTTGCCAGAGACACAGAGAAAGTAAAAGTGAGAAATCACTTGGCTATGTGACAATCCCTTTTCCATTCTCAGGATTTTGGCCATGCGCACACACCCCTGGCATGATTTAAGCCGCCTGATCCGGGACTCAAACCGCAGTTGACCATGTGGGAGTTCAGCACCTTAACCACTACACTACCTGCTGACTCCAGCAATAAACTTCCGAATTTAATATTTTTACTTTATATCCTTGCTATAATTACATATTAGTGTTTGTTATTATTATTATTCTCTGGGATTTTCTACATAAATAATAATTTCTTTTGCCAAGATATATTTCTTCCTTCCAATTTATGCCTTGATCTCCTTTTCCTGTCTTAGTGACTTACCTAGGACTTTAATACAATCTGAGAGAGAACATTCTTACCTTATTTTGATCTCAGGGCAAAAGCTTTTATTAGGTCTCTTTTTTTCATTTTGCTATGCAAACATGTGTCATGACTTTCCCAATGGCCCAATATAATGGTTTGTCACCATTGTCTATAATGCTGGCTATCAAGTTGGGGAACTTCCTAGTCTGCTGAGAGTTGTTAGCATAAATGAGTGTTGAATTTTGTGAGAAGTTTTATTTTTAATTTTTAAAATTTCCAGAGGGCACATCGGCTCTCCAGAGAGACAGAAAGAGAGGGAGGGATAACCTCCCAATGGGGTGTGTTTACACTGCAATCCTCCCTCTGCCATTTTTCCATCATGTCAGGATTTAGGAATGTAGCTATATGCACCATATTTTTTTTCAAGCCACTGGGCCAGGATTCAAACGATGGTGTGTCGTGTGGGACCTGGCTCCCTAAACCTACTGGGCCATACGGTGACCCAGGAAGTTCCATTTTGGAAGGGTGTGAGAAACTTGTGCATTACCCACAGGGGGAGATGGGAAGGTGGCTGAGTATAAGCATCTATTAATAGTACCTAGGAGAGGAACATGGGCTTGAGAGAAGGGCATACTAAAGTCATGGCCATTAACATGATTGCCAGGGAAGTATGTGTGGGTCAGGCAACTGGCTGATTTAGAGAAAAATAATTAAACATGTCACAGTACATGCCTTTGAATCTGTGTGTTTCTGCAGACATCCTGACCAACTCGTTGGGACCATGGTGCACATACTGTTGATTGCCTACTGTCCCATGGGTGCCATGCTCGGCACTTATTTTGCACTGTTTTATTATTTCATTTCCTCCTTACAGCGTCCGAAGTGAGTGCCATTAATCCCATTGGCCAGATTGAGAGAGCTGGAACCCAGGGAGTTTCAGTGTCTTGCTCAGGTCAGACAGCTCAGAAGACAGAGCTGAAAGTGACTCTTAATGCCTGTCCTTTCCCTCCTACCCCATACTGTGGGATAGTGCCCACAGTGCCAGGCACAGAGAGAAAACTGTGAGTGAGTGGAATGAGTGCAGGGGCCCCCAGGGCAGACTGCGGGCTGCCTCTCCTCTTCTGCAGGGCCAGCTGAGGCTGAGCACCAGTCTGCCAGGCCTAGAGCCTGTTGGCCCAAAGCGCCAAGCCTTGGGCCCAGTCTCCTGCGGGGAGAACCTCCAGTCTAAAGGGAGCCTCCAGTCTTCAGGCAGTGCTGGCAGAGCCGGAAGGGTGGTTACACCTGTCTTGTGAAGCCCTGGCCTCTCATACCTTTAAGTCCTGGTCTTCCACAGATCCTTACTCAACAGCCTCGTACTCCATCCTCCAGATGGCCCTGAGCTGAGCCTGTGTGCAGCTTTATAGAATGTGAATAATTCAGGTCCCGGCAAACTGAGGTGTCAGTTTCACTTGCTGTGTTCCCATGGGCACTGGTGTCCCAACCGTGTCATGCAGCTAATAAAAGGGCAAAGGGGGAGGAGTCGCTGTCCTGTGCTTCAGACCCCAGGGCCTGATGGAATCCTTGCCCCTTGTTCTGCTTTGACAGCAGCAGCTCACCTGGGCCTTGGTTGGGGACTAAAGTCAGGGCTGAAATGGAGGATGAGAAAAGGGGAAGGAGTAGGAGGCAGCAGGATGGTCAGGCAGGCAGCTGGGGCAAGAATTACAGAGGGAAAGACAAGGAAATAGAGTAAGTGAGATGTAAAGGCAGAGAAGGGGGCCGAGGAGGGCAAAGAAGGCAGAGGCTAAGAGAAAGCAGATGCTGAGGACCAAGCACTGAAATCCAAGAGCAGCAGAAACTGGAGCGGCCAATCAGCAGAGGGCTCTAGGGCTCTCTTCCAGAAGTGTCAGTTTTCCTTCTAACTTCCAGCGACTGTCACGCCATCCTTACCCGCTGGGCCCAGTGTTGCCCTAGGTCTGGACAGGAGGCATTGGCCCCAAAACCTGCCCCACCTTGCTGTGGCCGAGCCATGAGGCCTGGGAGCCAGCAGATCCTTGTGAGCCTTCTGCTCCTGCTCCCTGCAGGTATGCAGCTCCGACAGGCAGCCCTCACCTGCCTTGGAGTTTCTGCTCTTCCGGTCCTCCCCAGCTTCCCTGCCACTCTCTCCTTAGCCTGCTCCTCAGTACCTGTGCGGGAGCCAACTCTACCTGGGCAGTTGAGGGATGCTAAGGAGGCTGAAAGGAGATGTATGTGGCTGGGGTGGGAGCAGGGGTGAGGACTTCCATAGAGAGGGCTGGAGGAGTCAGAGGGACCAGATCACAAAGGGCCTAAAGGCCAGGTCAGTGCTTCATCCTGTGGCCAGTGGGAGCCACGGAAGGGTTTGAAGTCGCCGAGGAGCTTGGTCAGATCTGCATGTTTACACGCTTGGTCCGTGGAAAGTGTGGATGGCACTAGGAGGTGAGCCTGAGGCCAGGGGGGCAAAGGGAACCCCCTGCTGCTGCTGTGGCTGCAGTCCACATCAGAGAGGATGGGCCTCCCTAGGGAGGAGGGGATGGGTCTGCACCAGGCCCGTAGCAGGGTTTGGAGGATCCTGCAGGATTTGGAAACTGCCTGGATTGCAGGTGCAGGTGCAGGGAGAGGGAAAAGGGAAGGATCATTCCCAGGTTTGGCTGCTGAGGTCTCCGGGGTGCTGTGGGCTGAAAAGGCAACATGGGAGAAGATAATGAGCAGGGTTCGGAGCATGGGAGGAGAAAGCGAGTTTGTATTTGGGGATTACAGAAGTTTCAGGTGCCTGTAAGAAATTCAGGAGTGCAATGTCAAATAGTGCATGGGTCTGGAGCTCAGGAGGAAAACCGAGGCTGAAGACAAGTGAGAGCACCAAGGACCGGATTCTTAAACTGGCAGAAATTTGCATCACAAAAGCCCAGAGAAGAGTGTGTTCTCAGAGCAGGGAATGTTCCTAGTGTCAGAAGCTTTGAAGAAACTCACAGATGCAGGTGCAGATGTGGGAGCATGTTTGAAACAGGAGGGGCAGGGCATCAGGTTGCTGAATGCCTGGGTAAAAGGTTGGATTCCTGGAACCCTTGGGGCCCTCTAGCATTTGTGGCAGAACATGCAGAACCCAGGTCCCTGGGAAGGGAAGGGTAGGGAAGAAATGTGTCAGTCTTGCTCCAAAAGACAGCACCAATTCACTGGGCAGGGTAGGGGGTGGTGGAGGGGGGAGAGGGGCAGACCAGGGAGGAAATACAGTTGCAGCTAGAGAGACAGAGGGCAGACACCAGAAGGGCCATGCAGAAGACAATGAGATGGTGGAGCAGGTGACAGGCCCACCCCTGGGACTGGAGGGTATAAGCAGAGGCCCCCGGACTGGGTCATAGATAGACATTCTTCTTACTGATCCCCCAGCATGCTTGGCAGCCGAGGGCAGGCTGGCTCACAAACTGTTCCACGACCTCTTTGCCAACTACACAAGTGCCCTGAGACCTGTGGCAGACACAGACCAGACCCTGAATGTGACCCTGGAGGTGACACTGTCCCAGATCATCGACATGGTACGTTTTGATGGTGGTTAGTTGCAGAGTGCTTCCACAAATAGTGTCAAGGAACGAAGGGGTGAGAGACAGGGGTTATATGCCACACTCATCTTTCTGTAAAAGTCCATGTTCACAGCAGTTGCTAAGTGCTGGGTACTAGCTGTTGGGTGCCCACTGTGTGCCCAACACTTTGCACATCTGAACGCACTAAATTGCTGCCAAGCAGGAAGTAACTGCTGAGGAAACAGGCCAGCAAAGAGACGACTCCACCAAGGTCACTTAGCAAGGTCAGGCTTGGGTGGGAGCCGGACTGAATTGGGCAGTCAGGCTTGCGGGTGTTGACCAGAACACCGCAGGTGAGTTTGCACAAACAGGAGAGGGGTTTTATACCATCTGTGTCCACTCCCTGCTGCCCACTAGGACGAGCGGAACCAGGTGCTGACACTGTACCTGTGGATCCGGCAGGAGTGGACGGATGCCTACCTACAATGGGATCCTGAGGCCTATGGTGGTCTGGATGCCATCCGCATCCCCAGCAGCCTCGTGTGGCGGCCAGACATTGTCCTCTACAACAAGTACTGCTCGCTCCCCCCGCCCCCACCCCCAACAGTTGCTCTTAGCTGGGAGGAGTGCTATGCGGCTCTCCAATGCCTAACTGGTGGTTCTGCTGGCCCATAGCTTTCCTCCAGGGCCCTTGGAAGCTGCCAGGAGCACACCTCGCTCAGAGTGCTCATGGCACCCCCACTCTGGGTTGCCCAGGCCTACCAGGGCTGAATGTCTCCTGGGAACCCACCGTGTGTTCAGGGCCAGTTCTAAGAGAACATCTGTCTATGGCACAGCTCAGGGCAGGCCAGCTCCCAGATTCAGGGTTCCTCCAGGCCTAGCCCTCTGGAGCACCCTATATGTGTCTCCCAGCTGATGCAAGGCCACAGATTTTCCCCGGGGCCCTCTACGGGTTTAGCAGCTGACTCCAGCAGCAGCAGCAGCAGCAGCAAGGAAGTTACCATGCTGCTGTGGAGAGCCACCTCCGGCTTTTGCAAAGACCTTTCACGGTGCCCTGGACGACAACAGACCTTTGTCCCTTCTGAGCCCTTCAGGCACCACCCCTTCTAGAACCCCAGAGGGAGAGGGCACTCGGTGCTGACCCCGGAGGCTTTGCGGTGGGTGGTACGGCCCCTCTTAGGTACACGGCCGGGTCAGGGACATCTGCCCAGGGGCTGCTCCTCCAGCACGGCTGCCTGAGTGAGTCCTGTTTCGTCTGCCCACAGGGCGGACGCGCAGCCACAGGCCTCGGCCAGCACTAACGTGGTGCTGCGACACGACGGCGCGGTGCGCTGGGGCGCGCCAGCCATCACCA